GTAGTTAAGATAAACATGCTACCCGCTTGCACTTTCATAGCAAATTTTTGCACACAACAGTGTACCTTTTGTTAGAAAAATACAAGTGTAAAGATAACTAGGATTGTATAAAATTGTTCCTTTTTTGTTAACAAAACCATCAACAAATCTACAACTGAATTATGGCAAATGCAATGTGATTCAATTGTAATCTATGCAGTAAAAGTGGGCATCAGTTATAAAGAAAAAATAAAATAACTTACAACTGTATTTATTCTGCATAACACTTAATGGAAAAGACTGATCATTAATGGGTAAAACACACAACATGACATCTAAATATAATAGTGAACAACTTTAAACTCAATTCTCTATTGACTTAGATTGAATCTAGTGAGAAGTATGTACAACATTGGATCAATAATTTTGTTCGCAAGAATAATACTTCTTGATCTCACTTCATGACTGGCTCAGTTTGGGTATACAGCTAGTAATACAGAATAGCTTTGCTTACTATGTTGACAGTTTAAACTGTAGAATCCTGATTCTACAACAGGAACAACTGTCATATTACACCACACAAAGCCTGATAAAAAACATGGGTAGCTCAGAAGGGTTTAGATAGTCATAGTTGGTAGTCTATATGACCACTTAAGCCTAATTGTTAATTAATTTCTACATTTCAGCTGCTAGTTTGCTTCCATCTTCAGGAATGTCCTAAAAAGTACTGGTGTGGTATCCACTTGATCCCAGTACACCTTCCTTTCTAACAAAAAGATCCAACCTTGAAACCCAGCCCTACCACCACAAGAAGTCCTTCTCAAGACAGAAAGTAGGCTAATAGTTGAAATACAAAATATAAACAAATTTGTATTTTGTCATAATATAGAAAAATGTAAGTAATTGAAGGTTAGACTGAAATGATCATATAGGCCACTAACCATTACAATGACTTTTAAACATAACCACCAAAACACAATATAAAAGAAAAACAAACTAGATTAGTCAAGTGAAACTCAAGAGTAATTGTTATGAAAATTACAGTAAGATTTTCAGATAATGTTCTGAAAAGACAAAATTCAGAATAATCAAAGAACTTATTTAATGATACAGTAAGAACTTAGTAGAGAAGACACATGAAAAGAAGAGCAGCAGAAGGCAGGCTCATATGAACAAGTCTACAAAACAAAATATGAAAGGAATGAAAATATAAAAAGAAATAACCGAGGTCTAAACATAAGCCATCAAAGTACAATTGAACAACAAAGTACAACATGGACATGAAGGCAAAAATAATCCTAAAAAAGAACTTCACTAGTACTTCAAAGTATTATTCTCAATTCAACAGACAGATAAAGTCCTTCAAGTTTTCAATCCAATGTAGTATCCTCTGGATTAGCTTTCTCTTAAACATGTCAGAGAACTTTGAATGCATGTAAGTAAAGGTGGGAGTTTCCTGAAAACTACTAGAAAGTTAACTAGTAAGTAATGTCACAAGATACAAATTCCAAGTTAACAATGCAAAACAATCCTTAAATAAAAGTGTAATAGTAAACAAAAAATCAAAATAAAGATAAAAATTAATTAGATTTGATATACTAACTGTTATAATCAATACTGTTAATAAAAAAACATACAAACACTAGTTCTTGTCTCGAACTATCATCATAGAAGCATATTTCTATAAAAAAGGAGTCTTGCTCTTTCTAACACATCAGTTAAACCAAAGAAAACTCATTATGTCTACCCTACATATATTATACTAACTACAGGTAGGTCAACAGTCATGAACTTGGTGTTCACTGCACTTTTTACTTCGATGTGTCATGGTCTTATTTTTTCTTGTATAATTAAACATTACCTTTGTATATATTTTAAATCAAAATTTTGTCACTCTTATCCTCAACCTCAATAAATCCTAAATAAAATTTGCTGTAACACCTCTAGCAAAAGTTTGACATGGTAAACATCTTCAAACATGTACTTGACTTACTAAGTTCTTTAACAAAGTCATTGATCAGCTGCATTTCTTTCTTTTCTTCTTCTTCAATACTGACAGATTGCATAACAGCCTATAGTAAACATAAAAAGTGTAAGTTTAGCAAATACAATAAAAAAAGCTTAGGATGACACAAAGTGTACATATTAGAGTCCAGTCTATTAGAGTCTATGTGATAGTTCATATTACCTGACTTTAGATAATTGATTTAGTAATGGCTAACTGTGAAGTTCCATTTTCTGTATAACTAGCTGCAAATTTACAAATTCTGCAAATTAACACAAAAACATGAGTGTCTATAAGGCATGGTAACATTAACATTAATGTGTACAACAGACACTGACATAATAATGGCTTGTAAAGTAAAGAACTAACATCCTGTCTGAGTTGTATGTTCTCCTTCTCCAAGTCTTGCACTTTTCTAGTCAGTAGTTCCCAGTTGACCATTCCCCTTTCCTTCCTGAAACATCAACAGTACTAATGAAGGACATTACCCCAACTTAAGCATCAGTGATATTAGTCATTTTCCTTCAAGGTTTACAACATAAGATTTTAATATTAAAGTTATAAACTTTCAATTTCCAGACAAAAACATTCTAAAGAAGATATCCTATAATATTTACCTATCACAACTTATTAGATATTCTAGTATTTGTTATAATTTGGAAGATTTTAGAGAGAGAGAGAGTTCAAACATACCACATAAACTTTTGAGTAGAGTAGAAGTTTTCCCTCAACAAATTACACAAAGCATTTTTTAAATTTAGTGGTCAATACACTAAAATGTATAACATTAATAATTCCTCCACTTTTTCATAGAATATTATGAAAATTTATTTTACAAATTAAAATAATACTTATTAACTATGCATAACTCACTTTATAAGCATTCCTAACTCAACCTAAGCATTCTATCTTTCAAAGTTATCCTTTTATTCAAGCCAAACATACTTACTGCTGAGTCAACTATTTTCCATGGTGTAAATAACATAACTGAGTAAAGAATATAAATAACTTTATTCATCCTAGACTACATACTCTAACACAAGTCCAAGCATTTATCACACCACAAAAATTTAAAACCATATCTGTTATTTTTAACTATCCTAAAATTCTACTGTAATTTTGCTTCAATTATCCAACTACTTTTAAGAATAGGTTTATTCCTTTCATTAGCCCCCCGCCCCTTCAAGTTTGGCCACTGGGCAGACTTTCTTTAGCAAGGTCATGCTCATACACTATGGTGGATTGAGACAGACAAAACTAGACCAGATATAGTAGCAGTCATGTATATATAGGCTGTACTTACTGTTCTGTGGACATCTAGCTGAAGCTTGCTACATACTAAATATGATGCAAGTTTGTATGTTTTTCTGTAACTTAAGAGCAATCTACAGTACTAAATTCAAATAACTCGATACCTATTTTAGTTATTTATGTATTAATTAGATTAATATATAACAAACATTTGTTAAATAGTAATAAAAACACTGGCAAAATGTGACAGGTATGGTAATATGAAGCTTTACATATGACAATTTTGTTTTGGTGCTTGGTAGTATAACTAACATTATTTATAAATAAATAACATTATTTAATAATGCTAGTGTTCTAAGGTAAAGGGCCAAAATACCACTAGCAGTGAGTGTACCCAAGTGATGACCTAGGGCAGAGTGGTTAGGTAAAGGGCCACAATACTACTAGCAGCAAAGGTACCAAACTGATGACCAAGGACAGAGTGGTTATAGAAGTTTTTTTGTATTTTGCTGTTCAATAATTAGAAATTCATTGTGAACCAAATATACAAGTGTCAGACATGTTGACCATGGTGCCATGACTCACATCTGCAATGACGTTCCAGTATATTTGCTTCTATAAGTAATTCTCTGTAGGTGTTAAAACATCCTAATAATAACATTAGGACTACAAAATATATAGTACATAAATATTTGTATATTAAATATGTAACACATAAACATTAATTGAATAATTTACAAGTTAATCACATGAAGAGAGTCTAAGAGTGAATAACATCTCATAGGATATCAAATTACAGAATCTTAAAAAGTTTATTTTCAGCTGCATTTAAAGTTATTCAAATAGAGCAAATATTCTAAATTTTTCTAACAGAAAGTTTGCAGAATACTGCAGATGCCCCAGTAAATCAATTCAATAAACCTGTTCTATGATTTTTTTGCTGTAGAAAAACAAAACTGTTGAATGAAAGTTTCAAACTTCGTAATTACTTTCTACAGTTTATGTAGTTTCTAGAAATAAAACATCTTGTTTTCATATTTTATATTTTTATGAATTTGCAGCTTTGAAAATTCAAAAAGATTTCATAGTGCTATTTTTATTTTAAAGGAACATTTAAAAATGCTTACCTTACTTGTAGATTTTAATATTTGATTTTATATGTCTTCCTAAATTCTTGTAGAATTTTACTATAAAGTTGTTATTCTATAGAACTATAAATTTTATCATATTGAAATTTCAAGCAAATTGACTTAACATTTTTAATCAGATGGTTTCATTATATATATATTTTAAACCTGTTTTATATTCATTTATATATATATTTATTTGTTCGATACAGTAATTCCTTTGGCCAATAATGCAGAATGTAAACAAGGCCTTTTTGGTGAAATGAAACTTGATACAGTTGAATGTTAAATTATTTTAACTAAGTCTACCTCATCTCATTCCATGAAAAACACTTCCTCTCATACTGCAACATATTAACTTAAATGAAGATTAAATGATGAGGCCAGCTTAAAGAAAATAATTATAATGACCATGACTGTAGCAAAAATTGTTCACAAATATATTTTCTTCTAGCAACAAATCACCAAGCTAAGCATTTATAACTATGTTTCAATCTCAAGAGAATCTCTGCTAAATTAGAAGCCACAGTCAAAAAGAACAGGAAAAAAAAAAGAATATGACTTCTCAAAACTGAGATACAAGCAATTACATCACACTATGCCAACTGTGGTTGAGAAAAAGTGATTGGCTGGAAATCAATAAAACTATACTCGTGTTAAGTTACAAGGTCGTTCGATTAGTGATATTTTGTTCAAAACTATCATGACTTTCCTCCGAGGGAGCCATGAGGGTTGTATTATGGTAAAAAAAATCCAAAAAATTCACAGACAATAATGATTTTGTTTGGAACATACTAGAATCAACCCAAAATCAATGAGGTTTTTTTAATAATGTATAAGATTAAATAAATAAAACTTTGTTATTGAATAAACTTCAACTGACATTTTTTTTAATGTATGGAAGTTACTACAAGTGTATTTTTTATAATTTCTTTAATTCAATTGTGCAGGATTTACCCATTGGGATTTGATAGTTAAATGCCATAAAACAATATAAACTCAAGTATTTAAGTCAGTCAAAGAAAGTAACGAGGCCCAATTGTGTAAAAGAAATAAATGTCTAGTAAGATTTGTGGAAACAGTGCTTTAAGTGAGTAAGACAGGAAAAGTTTAAAGAAGTTTTTTCTTAGCACAAAGCCACACACACAATCAACTCTGTTCACCAAAGAGAATCAAACCCTGGATTTTAGTACTGTTAATCCATAAACTTACCACTGACCCACAGCAGGTACTTAAAAGAAGTATGATACACGGCATTATAATTCATTTATTGCAATTAAATAACTTGTATTCTTCATCATAAAAACTTCACTGTTTAAAAAAAATATATAAACAATTTTGTATTTTTCTCTTTTATTCAAATATAACATTCTTAAATTGTGAATGCTTAAAATTATCACTGCAGCACCAATATTCATATTCGCTAATTAATATGAATGAATGTTAAACATGGTTTTTAAGTTAACAAAATTACTAAGCTTTACATGTGTTAAGAATGCCAAAAGCTAAGAAAATATATAGATACACTCAAAATTATACTGTATCTTGTTACACCTAAAGAAATTAATCCATTTTTTGGAGGCTACCTTCTTTTGATATTATAGATGCAAAAAACAAGATACATGTAGATTTTTTAGATTGCAACATTTGTAGTCAAACCACATTTAAAAACTTAGTGATGTGTACCTGTTTTCACATAAAATCAAGTTACCTTCACTTTTAATTTTTGCAAAAGTAGTAAATACTTTATTATCAATGTTTTTATTGATAAAAAATGATTGATAAACTTTATTATTGGAAAAACAAAACTGTTATAATAATGTTAAGATTTATACAAAAGAATAGCATTTGTAACAAAAGTTCTTAGTCTCTAGTTGAATCTTTCTTAATCCTATCCCAATAACAAATTATCCGTATTATGATAAAAAAAAACAATACAATCTAAAATACTGTTTTCTTGTTCTCTGTTAGTAATTCCTCTATTTTTTTCTGTGACATTAACCACAGTTTACTATTATCATGGTACAAAAAAAAAGTTCACCAATATAACTTTCTTATTTAAAATGCATATGTTATAAATGTGCTGTTTCATTTCACTCACGTTGGTGACCCGGACTCAGAGTCAGTATCAAGATCTTGGGTGTAGATCTGCAATAGGCCATTCTTAAGAGCTAAATCGTGACGTAGCTGAGTGATCTAACATTGAAAAAAAAAAAGTGAAACAAATATATCAGCTTTGATGAATAAAACATTCAATTTAAATAAATGAAAAAAAATATTCAACAAACTTTCATGTAGGAAGAGGAACACAAGACAAATAGAATCACAGATCAACCAAACTGTTTACAAAATCTTCAGAAATGTAATAGAAAGTTTTCCCTGCACTTAACTCTTTTCAAATGGGGTCAGTAAGTGTGATAAACCTTTTTAACCACAAAGTAACCAACACAGTTTCTACATTATAACTTTATATGTGTTTTGTGTATTTTCATGAAATTTGGCAAGATTTCGGTAAACATTTCAAGTCTTTTGTACACACACAAAAAAAGATTTTTTAATCAAGTATTTTTATTAAAGATTTGTCCATGAATGCATGGAGTCAGTGTTGACTGCTCTGAGTGAAAAGTGATTTTCATGTTAAGACTGAAAATATTTTCCTTCATCTGAAAATTTTATAATTTCATTAGCATAACCTCTTAAAACCTTCTAAGTAAAAATGAAACTTTTTTTTCTCAGTAAAACTTTATACTTTATTTGTTCTATAATTATTATAATTCAACTGGTTTTCTAACTAAGGCAAGAGAGGCTTAACTTAATTCCCTTAGCTGCTCAATCTGAAAACCATGAGAAAAGTTTTCAAACTGATGATGAAACTGAAAATACTCTGTAGTGAAAACAACAGTGGTATATGTCATCTGATAGATTAAAACTTTTCCTTTCTATTGGTTATGAATGATATAATATAAAAATGTCAGAGAATTACTGACAATTTGTGATAGAGATGATGTGACAGGTTTATGACTCTGTAAACAAATAAGGTTGAAAGCTATAAAAATTTGACTTTACCTTAGTAATATCTATATTATAATGAGTAATTTACATTAAATTCCATACTTCAGAGAAGGGTGGTAAATACATTAGAGAAGTGAGAAGACTTGAGAACAAATGTCTTGATTCTCATATTATAGGAGATTGAGGATTTTTTTCCAATATTCCCTTATAAAATTAAGAGCTTAAAACTTACATAAAATTAAAATTTGATTTAATAATTGTGTTTTGATCCAAGTTTATTCATACATGTTGATAATAAAGTAGTTCAATTAAGTTCTGAATGTAACTCTGTAATACAAAGATTGTGACATTTTCGTTCAGTATAAAACCACTGACAATAATGGACATTCACCTGACGACTTCAAATCTTATAGTATGTGCAAATACACCAGGCTTATGTCTTCAGTAGCAAACTAAATATACAAATTAATAAATTGTCAGAATTTCAACAAGTTGCCTGATCATGCACGTTTTATTTAGACAAAACTGGACATGCAATGTAGGCTATAATTAAACAAAAAATTTCATTCACATAAATCATAAGACCGAACCCTGTTGGTACACATTTTAAATCATGATTTTTTTTTATTTTGCCTCTATTTAACACATACAACTTACTTAGATGATTCAAGATATACAATAAAAACCTTTATAATAAATTTTCTAGTTACAATTAACCCTCGTTAGACTGGAGACTGACATTCTGGATTATCCACAATACAAATGACTTTCCATATAGACAAATCATCACTATGGGAAATTTAATCAATAATCTGTATATTTGCTTTCCGAATCCAAATAGTTGTTTCTTATAACAAATCTGTGTTTCCTGTGGATACATGATTCAATTATCCAAAATCCATACACCCATGAAGAGTCAAAGTAAGAGTTGACCAGAAAAGAAATCAAGATAATAATTACTGACCACAAAAATATTTGCACTAATTAGGGAGGTATCAGTTTACAACAATTTTTCTGAGAACGACCTTAACTCACATTTGATGCCCTGCTGTCCATGCAAGATAAAAGTGGATTAAGAAAGCCTGCATGATGTCAGTATTGTTCTCAGAATGGCTGGAGAATCTGAACAAAAGGATGCATTCAAAGAGAAAAAATATTCTTCTTGTGAACAATTCTGCTAGTCGTGCTGGCTCCAGACCAAGAGCTGTCTAATGCAAAATTGTACTACTTGCCAATAAACACTAGGCCTATTGATTTTGGCATAACCAGATCATTCAAAGCTAACTACCACCATCAGCTGATTATAAAGTACACAAAATGTATTGAAATAATGGTCCACAAACTGTAAACTTCTGCAAGGCTTTACAAATGCTAAATTTCCCCTAGTCCAATGTTACTATGGAAACTATCAAAAATTGCTTCAAGCATGTCAAGATTTTTCCACAACCTAGAGATATCAGAAGTTTTTTAATGAGATTGCTTATGCAATTCATACCTTAATCTTCATTAGTAATGATGCTATATCAGCTGATCAGTGGCTCAACGATTCACCAGAACCAACTGGTCAAGAATTTCATATGAAAATATCATTTCCATCATGTCTCTTGAAAAGTGTGGTGATAGTGAATCTGACATCAAAAATGATCAACCAGTCAAGCAAGTCAGTTTGAATAAAGCATGACCTAGCTTTAAAGGCATCACAGAGTTTGAACAAAACAGTGATTTATGTGAAGATAATCACATAGCATGTTATTTGCTTAAATTTGCTGAGAAGCTTTAAAAGAAAAAATTTCAGTTCAAAAGCATACTATGATTACATCCTTCTTTGGAAAGTGATTTGTTTGATATTTTATCAATACCATTTTGTATTCTGTAAGTATTTAACTGAGTTGAACAAAATGATGTATTTAAAGACAATAAAGTGGTATTTTGATCAAACAGTTTGTGTAATTATTGATGATGTATAGATTAATAAACTGATAATTTTATTGTAGACACAACTGCTTTTTGTTTATTAGTTGCATGCCCACCCTTATTAGTTTTGAACCCTTACATTCGATTATCAATAATGCATGCCATTAACAGTGTCCATTGTATTTAAAATTAATAATTTGAATAAATGGATGACTCAGATCTGCACAAATTAGTTTGTTACAAATAATTAATGAGCTTTTACTGTATACATAACTCAAACCAGTAAACTGGTTCCAACACCCTTCCCCTCACTGTGCACCATTTGCTGTCATACATCCCATGACAGTCATGTATTTCTATGTTATTTGATTATTCTATTAACAATCCACGATCTATCCTTCATGCTGCATCTGTTGAAATTACTATTTAAAGCTAAAAAAAGTTTTTGTTCTCTTTTTTCATTATTTTTTAACATATTCTGTTTAGTTTCATTTCACATACTTCTTTTTCATATAGTTTCACATCTGGTTAACTTCAGGGGACATTTCAAGCTCTAGACATATATCTCAGAAGTGTTAAAATATTCTTAGTTTTACTTAAAAAAACAACAATTTATATAGAGGTACAAACATCACTTGAGTCAGCAAAGACATCAATTCTTTGGTATATTACAGTTTCCAAATGTTATTAAAATATGTAAGCAAAGACAAAAATATTTTAGTATATCACTTAGCTAATGAATTAGTGAAGCACACAGCATGGAAATAATAAGATATACTTACAATTTTGTATCATGATGATAACAGTACATTTAGTTGTTAATCATTACCATTAAGAGTAGAACACACACAATTTGTAATATAACCAATATAATAAACAAAAAATTCACTTACATTTTCATTAGCTATAGTAAGGTCATGCTCCAGCTGTTCATTCTTCTGTTGAAGATCTTTGTTTTTATCAAGCAGAGTCTGACCAATACGAGCTGCTAATTCAAGGTCTCCCTCTTTCTAGAAAGTTAAGAAGATTGAAGTGGAATATCAATTCAAATATCATCAATTTACTCTTGAGAAAAAGACAATCTACTCATTTAGTTCTCATGAGTAAATTGCTACTCTCACAAACTTAAGTAATGCAGACCCTAACTAATAAATCATATGATTTTGTGGAAATGTACCTATAGAATTTAGAGTATTTAGGTAACAAAAATTCTAGAAATTATAAAGTTACTTTAAGTTGTACATGTGGTGTTTTCTCTTCAATTTTTTTCTACTTTATTTTGGATAATTTAAATTGGTTAATGTGGCTTTTTGTGTATTTAGCACTAATAACCATGGTATTCTGTCAATTCAAGTAACACGCTTGTGCCACATATAAAATCAGCAGTTTGATAAAGCCATTTAAAATTTCCTGGTTGAAATACTGCATCTAGTCTAATAACCAATTAAAGAATATCTATGGCTGATTGTAAACAAAGTCTTACCTCCTCTAATAGCTTAGTCACGGCTTCAATATCATTGTATGCCTTGGTCATCTGGCTTAAGCGACCTCCACATGAGACTACTCAAAGGAAAGAAAAATTCATGTAACACAAAATATCTATCAGTTTCTTCTCACAAAAAAATAGCTGTATACAGCTTCTAAACAAAACAATAAAACTGAGCTTAAGATTTTTCCAAGACACTTTTTAATTTGACACAAGATAATTTTCAATTACATATTAATCTTACAACTATTTTATGACAAAAAAAATCATTAAGAAAATAATACTCTACTCTAAAGAAATGTTTTGTTAAGAAGGAACTAGAAGATAAATAAGCTTATTTTGTTAAATCTTATTTAGTTGCAACAGAAATGGATCATGTTATAACTATGTTTTGAGCTTTATACAATGATTTATTTTACTGGTTGAAAGACGAGTCACAGATTGAGATATAAAAATCTTAATAATCTGTTGGCCATACACAAATAATTTGACAATACTAGTTTTCAAGAATTTACTGTAAAGTAATGTATAATTAATTCTACAAGTAATAGTAATTTTTTGTTCAAAAACAAATCAAAGCCAAACATTACACTACAAGAGTTATAGGTCAAATCAAAAATAAATATTCAATAAATATTTTTATTAGAGAAAAACGAAATACTGAAACAGAGTTGTTACACCTATGAAAAATGAAACCTCGTGACTTTTCAATGACCATTCTTAAAAATTTAAAGACCATTTCATGTGTATTATACAAGAAACTGCATCAGGACATATGTTTTCAAATGTAAGTATTATACAAATATTGGTAAATAATATTTTATATGGTGAAAAGGCAGTAATATTTGTACTGCTAATCTAGCAGTGTTCAAATATAACATAATTATTTGAAAATACAAAAGTCAAATTTAAAGTGTTTCAGCATTTCTTGTTTGATAATTTTTGTCCAATTTTTATTGTGAGAGCCTTCAAGGATTCTTCCTTCTCTCTTACAACTCTCCTTATGGAATTGACCACTGTGAAGAGGCTAAAGTTTCTTTTCTATCCAGCTTTATCAGAGTTTTCATCAGCTGATGAAAGAAGCTGCTTATTATCAGGCTTAAGGCTGATTTTATTACGTTTGAGATCTTTCAGTTTCAATTCAGTTTCTTCAATCTTTCTCTTGTCACCTTTCTGTGGCTTCTGCTTTCTGAACTTCCCCTCTTCTGAGTATGTCCTATACCTTTGTCTTGTATTTCCAACAAAGGTAAGTATTTATGTAGTTATGTTTACATTCAGGACACCCCCAGCATGTCTAATATGGTCAGTTAAAAAGGGACAGACATTTTTGTTTTTTTGTAATAGTTAATTTATTTAAAGAAAAGCACCTTTTGACACTGGCCTGTCCATGAGACACAGAAAGAAGAGTTTCCTAACTCTCCAAAACATTTTTAATTGTTTCTTGTTTGACAGGGGATAGAAGTATAAAGTATTCAGTCTGTTTTGCTCTTTCTGACACAAATGAGCTCTTGAATGTCGTGAAAAATGTGAAATTCTTTTTACTGCCTGAGAATACTGTCACAGTCCCTTTCTTCCACTCTGCCTGCATTTACCAGACTTTTTAGACAAGATGATAAAAGCATAACAACCCTGGAAGATCCATTTTACAACATCATGTCCAAACTACAAGTTAAGAGGTCTTCTCGATAATTTTCACAACAACAGCCTACATTAAAGTTTAAAGCATAGCAAATATTTATCACCAATTTTGAAGCCTTCTTTAAATTATTAAGGACTTTCTTTGTGACAAATCTTTTCAACAATCCCTTAGAAAAGACCAAAGAAATCTGCAGCCATAAAATGTAACACTGATTTCTCATCCTGGAATTCCTTGAGAAAAGGTTCAATTTCTCAAGCAACTGAGAGAAAAAACTGTGCTTTGAGGATGAAGAGATAGGAATTAACAGCTTCATGAATACTGTCATATGACTTTAATTTTGGTTAGTTTTTCTGTACACTCACATGTTTAAGATGAGGTAACAATGATAAGCACTTTTCCACAACACTAATGTTCTCCAGCCATCAGTGTTAACAAACTTTGGTAAAAGGTCCAAGCATCTAGTCTTATTTTTGAAGTTATCAGCTTTTGCTGAAGAATCTTTGAACAAACAGTAGAAATTTGACAAAGTTTCTTCAAATTCCTACTCAGCTGCTTCACACAGATTGTGAATCGGGTGTAAACCACAAGTCCCAATTTGCAGTAGGGGCCTTTTGGATTGGGTTTATTAGCATCAGTTGATAACACTTCATGTAATTTCCAGTTAACACTGGGACCATCCGTGGATATCTGCAATGTGATGACAAGGAACAGTTTGCCAAATAGGTCAGTGACAGTAACATGTCCTATGAACTCTGATTTGATGTAACTTATGTGGACAGTTTTTTCATTCCAAAAGCAAGCAAATGCCACAATTGTTTCTTCTTGATGGACTTGTTTCAGTATGGAAATGAAATATGGCAGTAGTCCATGTATAGGTAAGTATGATGTTTTGTCTTCTCCACATGAAAACTTTTTTGAAATTTCACTATTAAGGAACATACTCTTTGTAAAGTTTTGTCATCCTTTCATTTGAATGGTTGTCAGTAGTTCTCAAAGTCCTTAAAACTTCTGATCTTAAAACATCAGCAGACAAAACAAATGACTGGGTGCTGGATGTTGAACTGGTGGTAGTCACAATGTTAGACTTTCTGTTCAGGTAGTTTGAAAAAGATGCAGAGATCAGTACTGTTGCTTGATATTGTTTTCAATGTCTTAATATTTTCTGCATGTTTCTTGTTTGACACATGATTGCACAAAGCTGCTTCTCCCATGCTGCTGATGTTAAATGAACTTTGGCATGATTTACATCTTGCTTTACTACGTTGTGAATCATTTTTTAAATATTTCTGAAAGTTCTGATTTGAAAAACATTTTGTTTTAAAATTACACTGAACCAGCATTTTGAAAACATGCAAAGGAATGGAAATAAAAATTAAATACACAATACAAATAATGTTCATTTGATTATTTTATGTTGGTCTTTTAACATTATATTCAGTACTCAAATGTATTACATAATATGTATCATAAAATTTCTATTGAGATTTATTTTATATTAATTATTATTATTTTTATTTATTAACAATACTCATTTTTATTGTAGCATACACATTATTATGCATTATTATAATTTTGTTATTCAATATGAGAAGCTTGCTTTAGCAAGATTCTTAGAATTTCATAGGGAATTCCTCGCTAGATGTAGGCATAGTTTGAAAAAAAACTGCCTTTAGACTGATGCCGTATATGACGGCTCATACTTGGTTTGACAGCGCTTGATGTCCAATACATAGTTAGGCTTTGCATTATTTTAGAATATTTTAGCCAAATATATTTACACAGAGACTGTCCATGAAATGTGCTGATTCACAAAAACCTGATTTTTCAATTAATGAAGATGCCCATATGTGTTTGACATCTCATAAATTTATGGATAATTTTTAGTTATGTTGTAGACCTAATAAAAGATTAAGTTAAAAATTTGTTGGTGTGATTTTTAACATATTATATTATTTCAGTAAAAATTCGGTGCTGATTTATCGCTTTCTTTCCATAACTGGCATAAGCATATAGAAGTATAATGAGAGATCATGTTAGCCCTAAGCCTTGGTATAATTTGTGCTAACATAACATTGCTTGCATGGCAGATAAACATTAATTAATGAAAAAGGTAGAATCTATTATTAGACCTACATCAACATCCTACAAATACAACTGAGTGAATATTTCAAGTCCAAGTAGAATTTCTTCACATTTTATATTTAGAAATATGCCTATAGCCATAGGATAGCCTATAGGAAAATTGGCTGATTTCATTAAAAAATAAGTGACACTAATATACCTCTAGATCTAGTACTGAATACATATTCTGTTTAATCTTTAGAAAACTAGATTATCATTAGGTCTACACTATATCTATTAGATCTAACTGTTACATGTATAGCTCCATTTGCTTCTTACCACACACTAACATTCAGGCCTAGCCCTAACATTAGTCAATTTGGCCTTTACCTACCTATGCAGACTTGATTAGGTGCCTATAGTTGTATCAATTCAACAATTTATATTGTGTTATAAAGAAGATACAGATCTAGAAACTAGATCTAATTAACACATTAAGGCCTATGTAGTGACATTAGACATGTTAGATTTTAACGTCTATCATTTCGGTGTTTGATTTGTGGGAATGATTTAAAATCTAGCTTATGCATATGTGCCTTGAAGCTTTATACAGTATAATATGCAAAACTGTAACCTCCTAATACAAATATTAGTATTTTCATTATTTTAAAACCCAACTTACAATGTTTAACACAGTATTAGAAGGGGGAAAAAACAGCTACTAACATGATTAAATAATATATAGAACATGTGGTAAAGGCACCTGTAAACACCTACTTCTCACTAACAGTGAAATGGAACACCAATATTAATAGCTCCATGGCAAGTCTTTCATGCATACCAGTTTCATTTTACTGCTGCTTGAGGCATGCGACAGTTGAACGAGATATATGACTGAAAGCCGTATTTCGATGAACCCATACCATTCATTTCCAAACAGAAAACTTTCTTGAATATGTTGTGTAGACTCGCCTAGGTCACGTGTACGATGTGTTCAATGGTTTCTCAACTGGTACAATATGACGCACTTTGGTTACCACAGTTGCGTACTTGTTGCAGATCTCTTTCTGAATATTCACAGTGCCACATGTTGACCCACATTCCTTTGTTTTCCAATGCCAGTGAGTACAAGAGGTGATGTTGTTGATTTCAATGAGATACCTGTGCTCTGTCCACCATGTGGAATTGAACCCCAGGTTTTGACGTTGTAAGTCCGTAAACTTACAGCTGACCTACCAGTGTGGGTCAATTGCAAGGGAAACCTCCATATTGGAAGTTCTAAATCTCTGAGCTGAACACATTTTTATATTCTGAGTATATGATATTTTTGCATCACAATGGGTTGTTGTATAAACTTCCCAAAATCGTCCACCT